CTTCTTCCTCTTCTTCTTCTTCTTCTTCTTTTTCTTCTTCTTCTTCTTCATTTCTCCTCCTCCTCCACTTACACCTAAACCCCCTCCTCCTCCTCCTCCTCCTCCTCCTTCTTCTTCTATGAGCGCTCCAAACCCACTCTGAGAGGACGGTCAAAGGCGTGAGACCAAAACCGGAAATTCCCGTAAACCTACTTAATGTATAACTGAACACAAAATATACTTCGGCGCAGTCGGCACTCCACAGTAAATATACAATGTCGAAGCAAATGATGGCGATCGCTACAAAAGGACTGAGTTTAACTTAAACTGGGCTTTCTACTTACACATTTGATCATAATGAAAATGCAATAGTGCAACACTACGTTTCAAGTTATGGGTACTGGCAAAGTTTCATATTTTTTCATTTGGTAATTTCTGAGAATATACTGTTCGCAAAATCTGGCCTTAGCTCAATTAGTAGTGAGATAACCACTTCAAATTTCATACATAATCCCTAGAAATGGCGTGAGTCATTTTCAAAAAAACGTCACGTTTTAGATTCTCATTTTTTCGAAAAATACATTTTTATGAAAAGTTTCGAAATAATATTGGTGAAATGAATCAACCATCTATATACATCAATGTGACATTTCTGAGCTTAATTCCGTCAAATTAGAGCGTCACGGCAACGTTTGGGCTAGCGTCCTAGGAAAATGTTCTCTCCTGTTACCACCAGAAATCATAGAGCCGTGTTACTGGAATAGGTTTTGTGGGGGTTAATGCAATATATGTTGGTGAAACTAGGTCTATTCATCAGGAAAATAATTTTAAAAAGCACTTCAGTTTAACAATCCACGCAAAATTATTTCTGAATTAAGTGCCAAATTTAAAAATCAGTGAAAATTTTAGAGTTTCGGTTTGTGATTCTCACTCTAAGATCAAACACATTGTGATCATATGAATTTCTATTCCTTTTATCAGTAAGGTGAAGCTAATCCTACACTTACTTGAATTTCTATTCCTTTTATCAGTAAGGTGAAGCTAATCACACACTTACTTTTTAAAAACAAAGTTCAAGATTTTTGTAATGAACGTAAAGAGGGGCGGTAACAGGAGGGAAACGTGGGTAACAGGAGGGAACATAAAAGACTGTTATCAGGTTTGAACAACAAAACTCATCAAGAATGAAACACTTATATAAGTGATATCATGTAAAGGAATAACTGAAGAATGGATGGGAATGTTGAAAGCATGTAACATATTCTGTGGAGACGTTATTTACTGGGTGTAGTGACCAGTGTAAAAGAACGAAGGCATCAAACAATAAGTGGGCGTCGAAACGAAATATATCGAGAGGATGTTTTGGAAGCGTAATGAGAATAGGGCCACAACTGCCAGCCTCAAAGGACTACAGGATGCGATTCGATCGATGACTTGGGAGCAAAGGGAAGGCTAATAAAAAAAGATGGATCGATGGAGTGAAAGACATCCTTCAAAGGCACACTATGCCGATCCGAAAAACAACCCACCTGGTCCATGTCGGAGAACTGGATCTCTCCTCGACACCACGCAGTACAAGAGATCATATACAATAAGAGTAAAGTGTAGTGTAGACAGCGGGTTTTGCAAAGTCCCAACGTGTGTGCTTTGTATTTCCTCTTCCATTTTACTCAAACAATTTTGAGTGACGTTAGCAGGTACTCTTGCTTCAAAAGCTTAAAGATTGCTCCATGTCTTTCCTTAAACTGATGGTCAATATTAGAATCGTATAACTTGTACTGTCAAACGTTTTCTGGAATAACGCCCACAATGGCATCAGTCTCCCAGTTTCTGTTCTCTTCTTAGTGATTCTTATTTTCTTCTGTTCACCGTTCGGGGTTTCTATTTTCTTTCATTACTACCCATTTCTGCTACGTTGCAGTGAGTCTCATGTCTTCAGAGTATGCTAGGATTGGATCCTTTCACTTTGCTTCATCCTTCTTCTTGCATCACATCACTAGCTGTCGAGGTGGGGGGGGGGGGGGGGTGTACAATTTTCCATCAAGGTCAGTGTAGGTGGCTTCTGTTGTTGAAATGTTGTTCTTCTGGAGACCTCTATCCTCTATAACGTTATCCTCTATCCTCTATAACGTTATCCTCTATCCTCTATAACGTTATCCTCTATCCTCTATAACGTTATCCT